ACCAGCAAATCATTTATTTTATTTTTTATCTATCGTATAGTAAATGTTACTAAATGCATGAAGATTTAAATTAGTCAATTGAATGAAACTGAGCAAAGTGACACTTAGCCACAGATAAAATGTAGTTTCTCCTGGCAGTCCCAGTTCTCCCACTCTCCTTCTTTGGTTAAAGCTCCACAGCGTCTCTTCAGTGGACACTGGAGGTCCTCTTCTCCTTGGGTCCAGTTCTTATATACCAGAGGGTCTCCGTTCACCCACAGCCACTCATCTTCAAGGTAACGCAGACCGATCCACACCCGCTCAGTGATACTGGTCTGTTGGATCTCTTTTGTAGCCAGAAGGTTCTCGGTCTCAGACAGCAGGCTGCTAAGGCTATCTTGGTTCCTTGTGCAGTACTTCAGAGCCTCCTCCCAGGTCTTCTCCTCCTGCACCACCGTCAGGTTCAAACAGAAGAACTTTACTGTTGCATCGATCCATCTTGAAAACCATTTATTCCTTGTCCAATAGACATTATGATCACGAGTAGCTGGTTCGTTGAGTTCAGTAGTGGGACTCAAATGTGAATAAAGCTTTTTCCAAAAGTTAACCTTATCTCCTCCTGACCAGTTCCATGAGCTGGTGGTTTGATTCCAGTAAACACCGATCCATCCTTCATCATTTTCACCCACAGATTCTCTGAACACCTCTTCCTCCAGTTCGTTGGTGAGAGGTGAAAGATCAGTGTAATAGTTTCTGCAGTGTGCTCGAGCATCTGCCCACTTTAGGTCTTTTAGAACATGAACATGTTTTTTAGACAAACAGCATGCGCTGGTAAAGATGATCACTCTGAAGATGATCTTCTCCATCCTGCTTCAGTCTGTGCTCTGCAGCTCTGAGATTTTGACTTTATCCTCTTCATCTCAGATTGCTGTGATGAAGACGAAAACATTTGCATTCATGTAAACAAGATCTCTTTTTTCTAACAAATTCAAATTATTTGCGAATAAGATAAAACGCCTCAAGATAAAGTAGAAGTTTGCCACTGCCATAGTGCATCAGAAAACAGTGTGTGTATGTGTGTCTACAGTGTATATATAAATATATATATAGGCTATGTGTGTGTGTGTGTGTGTGGCGGGGGATTTTATTTTCTAATTTTTGTAATTTTCTTTAGTTTTATGTGTCTGAGCAATTTTCACAACAAAATGACTCATTGTTGTTCGTTCTTCATTAGGCCAAGAGTTCTTTTTACTACAAAATATGTTTTTGTCACAAAAAAAAAAGCACATAGAAAAGTGTGCCTGTTTACTATCAGGTCAAATGTCAATACCTGTAGTATAGAAGAAGAATGTGTTATCTAAGCATTGCTGGATGATATGTAATGATTATTAAGGATGTGAAACTACTAGTGATTTATTGTTTTGTTTTGGTTTTGTTCAGTTGTTGTCCAGAAGCTGTGTATGTGTCTGTGTTTTGAGTACTGGTGGCTACACATGCCTCTGTGTATGTGTTTATTTGTCTGTAGCATGAGCAACATATTTCATGAAGCAGGGGGTGGAATTGGAAAAAACAAATCCATCTTTAATATTTAGAATAAATAACTTTACTAATATTATGTCATTACTCAGGAGACCCAGAGAACACGAGACCAAGACAGACAAGACTCCAAAGGGATAAAATATTAAACAGTGTTTAATATTTACAGTGAAAAGGACAACAGCTGATTCTCCACTAAAGCACTGGAATGGGAGAAGAGGCGTCAGGAAAAGTATCCACAGGGGTAATGAGAGTTTGAGTGATAATCCAATATTTCTGTACGAGCACGAGGAAACACAGGTAAATGTGATATGAAAGGAGAGAGAGATTAGACAAACTTTTCTCTAATCACAACTAGGCCAGAATCATACTACCATCAAAGGAGGTGAACGCTCCAGCGGAGAGTAGAGCTCAACTGCAGCCGTAAGTAGTGCTGGATCCATGATAAAAAGATGACTTGCAGGTGTGGTTTATTGGCAGCCATCTTGGATCCAGGAGCTGCAGAAGATCATACACTAATAGTACCCCCCCCCCCCCCCCCCCCCCCCCCACCCCCCCCACCACCCACACACAGCACACCCCCCCCCCCGCGCCGCCCCCCACCCGCCCCGCCG